CTCCCCCTAAGTGGCCCGAGGTGACCTCTGAAAGTGGTTCGCTAGTCGCTTGACCCAGAAAACCCTACAAAATCATGCAACTCAAGAGGTTCAAGTCTGCGTGTTCACTTGAAGAACACACGTGAAAGTGCCCAGGCCATCAAGGGTGTGCAGATCTGAAAAGCCACCAGGTAGTGAAGGATGTCACTTGGCAGAAGCCGTGTGTGTGCCACTCCGTCGCTGCTGGTGGAGCTGGTCCGTGTGCCCGGGCCAAGCGGTGGGCTGCACACAGGGTCGGGGGCCCAAGAAGAGTGCTGAAAAATGCAGAGAGTCATGCTGAACGTAAGGGTTTAGATGTCGATTCTCTGGTCATGGAGCACGTGCAGACGAACAAAGCCCCCAAGATGCGGCCTGGAACTTACAGGGTTCGTGGTTGGATTCACCCCTACGTGAGCTCGCCCTGCCACACGGAGTGATCATCCTGACTGAAGAAGACCAGATTGTTCCCTAAACCAAAAGAGGAGGTTGCACAGAAGAAAAAGCTATCCCAGAAGAAACTGAAGAAACAAAACCTTATGGGCCCGGGAATAAATTCTGCATAGAATAAATGCAAAAAAAAAAAAAAACGGTTTCCTATTTTGTTCACCAGATTGTACGTCTTTTGCTAAGTTCCTTTTTTTTTTCTTTTAATTTTATTTGACAGAGCACAAGCAGGGGGAAGAAGGAGAGGGAAAAGCAGGCTCCTCGCTGAGCAGGGAGCCTGAAGTGGGGCTCGATCCCATGATCCTGGGATCATGACCTGAGCTGAAAGCAGACACTTAACCGACTGAGCCACCCAGGTGCCCTTTTGCTAAGTTCTGAAGTGGTACTTAAGGCACAAAGCGGCCTAGTACTCAGTGTTTCTCTCTACAAAGAGTAAAGCCAAATGATTTATAGAAAGCTGTAGGTAGTTAAGCTGTCCAGGTTCTTGTGGTAACAACTTATAATATGTTCTGGATGCCAGGGGGCAGGGGACCATCTTCCGCAGAGAAACCACGGAGGGTGAACTCTCGAACAGGTGCATAACTCATTGGTGAGAGGCTAAGGTATATTGGGACAAAGAAAAAGCCACTCCCAGAGGGGAATCAGAATCAGGCCACAGAAGGCCACAGTGTTTATTGTTGGCACAGAGAATGCAGGCATGCCCTGTGACGCTGTAATTCTGGTGTCCCTGGAAATGATGAAATGTCCACATTTCTAGCAGTTGCTGAATCATACTTTTTTCAGCCGATACTTGAGTTTGCTAAGGTATCACACTTGACAATGCGCCTTGGCTGGCTTAGTGATCCAGAAGGTGCATAAAGCCAGAGGAATTGTACTGAGCAGGACAGGTGAGTTCGTATTTCCTTTCCTGTGCGTGAGCATCACTCGCTGCTACCGTCCATGTGTAACTGTTCCCGCAGGGGCTGTGCGTCGTGTGCAGTCAGAGCGACACCTGAGTGGGCTGTCTGCAGTGAGCCGTGGCTTGCGCTCCACCTGTCATTCGGCTGTGTCAGCAAACATCCCCACATTAAGCACAGTATGCATGTGGCCAGTCTTTCACTGGTTATTTTAACGGATATAATTTAGAAGAGCTGTTCCCACTTCTCAATTAATTTTTTTGTCTTGTAGGTGAAATAATTCGCTCAGTTGTGGAGGGGGGCAAAAAAGGACAATGAAGACTGTTGGATTGTTATATTTATTGCACTTCCAGACCTATATGACATTTATACCATTATAAATGCCCTATAATAATCTAATCTTGCAGCATTTGTATATATGAGTGGATAGAAAAGAAATGCAGTCAAAATCCCCATCAGTAGCTTGGGAACGTGGCCCGTAATTGTTTGAATCATGTAGCATTCCAGACTTTGAAAGCCAGCTATCCTGGATCGTAGAATAATAACCATGTTGAATATATTCAGATGTTCTAGGGAAACTGGATGGCGTAATTTCAGCAACAGTTCTCCCTGTGTAAAACAGTGCGGGTGGTCATCATAGTGTTGTGTGTTGACACTGTCGTTAGCCTGGAAAGAGTGATTAATTAAACATGTTGACAGCTGAGAGTCTCGCGGCTTCCATTGTCACCTTTGTATGAAGATGCTTGGAAGCACCTGCGTGTGGTGGAAATTACGCTAGACGAGAAGCAGGAGGATTGAGACCAGTTCGGGCTGGGCTGCACACTGGCAGTAGGACTCAGGCAAGGCACCCTTCTAAGACTTTGCTCGTGTGTAAAATGAGGGTGTGGCTGACGTGCCTTCCAGAGATTTCCTCCAGCTCTGAAATCCTGTGATCCCTACGCCTACCTCGAGCTCCGGCCCCTCGGCACTCCTGGCCTGTTTGTCAGTTGCTCTCAGGTTAGCTACACCTGGATGTGCACCCTTAACAACCTGACCTAACACTTTCCTCACTCGCGAAGGTCAAAGGTCGTCTCCCTCCCCTCCTAGCTCCTCGCTCCCTCACAAACGCACCCTCTGCCGTTTAGCTTCATTCATTTTATTTTACTTTCCAGTTTTCTATTCTTGATGGTTGGTGATACTCACCCTACTATTCTTAGTTAGAAATCTTAGAATATTTGTTTCTTCTTATGCATAGTTACTCAGCTTGTGAGTACTACTCATGCTTTCTTTGTAGTTAAATGTCCCTTGGTTTTATTACTTCTCAGTTCTGAGTCCAAGCCTTTTCCTTTTCTTCCTCTGATTATTATTACGATATCCTTAACCTTCCATCCATCCAAATATTTATTATCCCTATTATGTGTGTCAGGCCCTCTGTTAAGGATTGGGGAAAATATGAACCACACACACCACACAGCTTAAGGACTCTCCAGTCTAGTGGGGAGACAAAAATTCAAACAAATGGTTTTATTTTATTTTATTTATTTGAGAGAGAGAGAGAGAGAGCATGAGCAGGCTGAGGGGCAGAGGGAGAAGCAGACTCCCCGCTGAGCAGAGAACCTGACTCCGGGATCATGACCTGAGCCGAAGGCAGACGCGTAACCAACTGAGCCACCCAGGCGCCCCTCAAACGAATGGTTTTAATACGGTTTTCACAAGAATGATATTTAAAGTCTCAGCCAGACACCTAGAGAGTGGACCGTGATATGAAGGGAATCAGGTTAAAAAGCAAGGGTTTGGCAAGAATTAAAAATTACTTGCTAGGGAATGAGGGGACAGAAAATTTGTGTGAAAAAAAAAATGAAAAATTTATGTCAATTCCCAGTGGGGTGATCTGGTGACGGTGAAGCAATTCAAGGTAGAGCATACAGAATCATAGGCTTTTAAAATATTTTTGGAAAGTATAAGGAATTTGTTCATTCATCAAATATTTATTGAGTAAAATTACTTGAGATTATTTGGTGACCAAGATAGACCGGTCTCTGGTCTCCCAGAGCTCATAGCGTGGCGGGCCGGGTGGACCCCAGGAACAGACCAGCAGCGGCAGGAAGGGTCATCAGTGTATGGTCGTTGGGTAGTGCCCTATGGGATCTAAGTAAGCCTTGTGGAGCAAATGTCCCAGGAGCTTAGACTCAAAGGTAACTCATCCCTTCAACCCATTTTATGGAGAAGAAACTGAAGCTTAGAGAAACTGTGATTTACAAATAACAAACTAGTTGGGGCGCCTGGCTGACTCAGTCAGAAGAGCGTACAACTCTTGGTCTCAGGGTCGTGAGTTCAAGCCCCACCTTGGGTGAAGAGATTACTAAACAAACAAACCAAATAATGAACTAGTAGCAAGCCAGGCCTGGAAGTCTGGACTTTGGTCCCTGGAGTACCTCGTCCTTCCCTGCTGTGCCCTGATTCCACATTTTCTGGGTGCAGTACCTTAAACCTTCATCTTTCACAGAACAAAGTGGGTGCTGAATAAATTAATTACTGATTAGTTTTCAACCTTTTGACAAGGCTGACACCTATCTTAAAATGAAGGAACTACATTTGCACTATTAATCATTAGGGATTAGCATTCTATAGCAGTTCATTTTGGAGTTACTTATGATTTCTGGTTATGTTTATTTTTCAAATTGTAGTGAGGATTATAATCTAGGAGTTCTGTGATGGCTCTACTAAATAGCACGTCTCAAAATAATTAAACATGTTAAAACCTTTTAGTACCTTAGATCTATTTAAAAACCCTCTTGGAATGATTTATTTTAAAGACACGTGTAAGAAAGCATGGCTTACTTAGGCAGTGCCTAAGGTTACAGCATACAGATGAAACAAGTACTTTCTACTCTACTCATTATTGCACAAATGAACTTGATAAAGCCAATTGCTCTATAATACATTTTCAGTAAAAGGATTTTTAATATAAATGACTCAACAGCAGCCTTGGAATTGACTCTTTCCAAATCTGGATGGATTGGTTGACTAGCTCAGTGGGCTTATTTTACATCGTATTTAGCTGTTAAACGCTGTGAGATTTCCTTTTAGCTTCTGTTACCAGGGAAATGTTGAGTAGGCTTATCTGGTTATTTTGTTATGATCATTTAGGTTTAAATGTGCATGCTTTAATTTGGAGTCACTATTTTTCATCGAAATGCTGATATTTACATTGCTTAAAACATAGTAGTTGATACCAGAAGCCATATTTTTTTTAGATTTTACTTAAATTCAACCTAGTTAACATACAGTGTAACCAGAAGCCATATTTTTGATGGAGCTCTCTTGTAACCAGGAAGAAAATAACAGCCTGTAAATACATGAGTCTTTTCAGAAACCCAGCTGAGGTTAAAAATCTTTTTTTTTATTTTGCTTTTATTTTTATCTGCATTTTTTTTTTCATCTGGAGGAAGTCAAACTTTCCCAGTCCCTGCTAACCCTTAAACTTTTTAATAGGAATGATTCTGTGCATAAGCACAGATGGTTCAGATTTTCACTGAGTGAGATGTAGCATAGCCCCCTGGTGATTCACTGGTGGAAGAAACAATTATTTATAAGATGAACCCTGGTCTTTTGGTGGTTCTCCCAGAGGAAGCTGATCCTGTCTCATTTTCCCCGTGAAAGGTTCCTCAGTGGTGCGCCGAGTACTGCCTCTCCATCCACTACCAGCACGGGGGCGTGGTGTGCACACAGGTCCACAAGCCCACGGCGGTGCAGCTCGCCCTCCGCGTGGCAGACGAGATGGATGTGAACATTGGCCATGAAGTTGGCTACATGATCCCCTTTGAAAACTGCTGCACCAGCGAAACCATCCTGAGGTGGGTGTGGGGAGCTTGGGCCTGCTGTGCCTGATGACGCTCGGCTTGTGTTCTACCATCCTAGAGGAGCGTGTTCTTGTGTTCTACATTTTAGACATCTATAATGTGTCCTAGTAATGGGCCGCTCCGTCTCCAGCCAGAGGTGCACTGGCGGTTTTCCTACACGGACATCATCAGGAATTTCTTGTCTAAACTTCTTCTGTATCTCCCCATAATCCTCAGGGAAAAGGTATGACTTGTTAGGTTGGACCCAGAGGCCCTCAAGCTTGGGCTTCTCAAGCTCCTCATGATGGGTCCGTACAAGTTATCTGTGCAACAGCCAAGCTGACACATACGTGTGGTCCTCTTGTGCCCCTGTGCCCTCTGCTTGGAATGCCGATGGCTCTTCTGGGGTTGGCTAATTCCTTCTGGGCATGCAAGACCCCATGCAAGGGTCACCTACTCCAGGAAGGCTTCCCTTCACCCTCCTGTACCGTACCTTAGAAAATACTCAGCCGGACCTCTATAAAACTTGGTACCAGCCTCCACATGGCAGGTTTGATCAGTGTTTGTCTAACTCTACTTTTCAGAGTTTTATAGGTTCCAAGGATCCTTCTCAGTAGCTACCACAAGCTGAGGGAGAAAGGCATCTTTTTATCTCTGTTTTTAGCTTCACTGTGAGATTTCCTTTGCACAGAGGGTTCTAAGAGCTTAACACACAGAGGAAAAGAGAAAAGAAAAAATATAATTGAAAAAAAGCAGTGCTCTGGGCCAGTGTTTCTCAAGAAGTCTTATATCATAGCCCACCTAGAAAGTGAACATATCTAACAGCACCTCAAGGAAATGGTCAAAGCTGCTTGGCCATCCCAAGGGCTTCAGCTGCCCCAGGCACTGCCTGACCACTCCAAGGGCTGAGGAGACAAGTGTCTTAGGAACAGTATATTCGCACGTCTGTAGCTCCTTTATGTGACACACCGTTGGGGAGGCTCTGCTTTAGTGTAACAGGGATGGTATATATGGTATGGTGTGGTGTGGTACTGTGTGGTGTGGTCTGTGGTATAGTACTGTGTGGTATGGTATGGTGTGGCATGATACGGTGTGATGTATGGTACGGTGTGGTATGGTGTGTCGTATGGTATGGTGTGTGGGGTGGTATGGGGTGATACGATGTGATGTGGTATGGTACGGTGTTGTATGGTGTATGATGTATGGTGTGGTGTGGTGTGGTGTGTATGGTGTGGTGTGGTGTGGTGTCGTATGGTGTGGTGTGTAGTACAGTTTGGTGTGGTACGGTGTGATGTGGTTTGGTGTGTGGTGTGTGGTGTGGTGCGGTACGGTGTGGTGTGGTTTGGTGTGTGGTGTTGTGTGGTATGCTGTGGTGTGGTGTGGTACGGTGTGGTGTCGTGTGGTGTGGTGTGGTGCGGTACGGTGTGGTACGGTGTGGTATGGTGTGGTGTGTAGTACAGTTTGGTGTGGTACGGTGTGGTGTGGTGTGGTGTGGTGTGGTACGGTGTAGCACAGCGGTGCTGGCTCTTGCCTCCTCATATCCCCAGCATCTGACATGCTTGTTTCATAGAGAACATTCAACCAATTTGCTAGTGGAAAGAAGGAGTAGTGCCCTCTCCTAGCTGGCTAGAGAGCCTGGAGCCTCTAGTGGTAAAGTCTGGAGACTTTTCCCATTCAGAAAGGCCATGCGACTCATTTGGTTAGTACTAAGCTGCTTTCCTTCAAATGTTTATCTTCAAGAATGGAAGCTACAGGTCTTCGGGCTAGTGTTAAACCATAGGGAATCTTTCCATCAACAGCGATAGGACTTGAACTTCTTGGAGATCTGTCACCTTCTGCTTTTATAGCCACGGTGTCCCCGAGTCATCAGATTCGTATATATGCATAAACTCTCTATTATGCAAATGATCTGTGAATGATACAGATTAACTAGGTTAAAACCTCCCTGCTGGAGTTGGAGAGGGCAGGACATCCTGACCCAGAAGGAGTGAAGGATCCCCAAGCTTGACAGATTCATTCTTTATCTTTTACATTTTGAAGTGGCCTTTCAGATGGTCATGGTATTAATTAAAGGACAACTCTGACTATAGTCTAAAGTTATTATAGGTATTTTTATATCTTTAATGCCATCTGGACTTTGAAAACCTTTTGGCAGGAACTCTTGGATGTAGTCACTTTTTAAATGAAATATTACAGTATTGTTAATATGGACCAAGTATATATTTGTTTTTTTAGAAAGCCACAGAGAGAAATAATTGTGGAGAAATCTAATAATGTTGTCAGAGTAGGTCGAAGACACCTCTCTCGGCTGGGACTTGGCTTCCATGTGATGTTTTTCTGGAAAGCCCTCCCCCCCCCCCACCAAGCATTCAATCGTGACAGCCAAAGGAAGGGCTAAAATTTACGTTGACTTCTTTTTAGTTCCTATCTGCATGTAGCATTCCCTCTTAGTAAGGACAACAGCTTTCAGCTGTGGGGCTGCTGAGGTGCAGGTGCACGTCGGGAGGCGGTGGGACTTGGTGGCCTGCTGTGGCCCCAACAGGTTCTGCTTCCTGCTGACTTGGCTGGGGGGCCTGGCCCTCACACTGTCGTTTGTATCTGCACTTTGCCATTATTCTCGTGGCTGGGAGACTGTTCGTTCTTCTCCAGGCTGACAGCCCCCAGCCGGTGCAGAGTCAGCAGGTACTCCGGTTGATGCTAACAGAGTTGGAGTCACAGCAAAGAGGCTCAAACTAGTGAAAAGCCGTATGATAAAAGAGAGTAGCTCCCCCATCTCCCTCCTGGTATTCTGTGCTCTGAAGAGGAGGCAGCATGGCTGTAAGAGGACTGTCCCCACCACTTGCTCCCCTGAGCCCCTCACTGGCCACCTGACCGCTCCGGGCTCAGGCTTCCTTGTCCGTAAGATGGGATGCTTACTCTGCCTGCTCACAGGGTTGTTGTGAGGGCAAAATGAGCTAATCCGTGGGGCTGACAAGTGTGAGCACCTTGTACATGTTGGCTAAATTTTCATTATCTAGGTAAAGCGGAACCAGATTCATTTTCTTAGAGAACTATGCTAACCATAATTTTTAAAAAGCTCAGATTGAATAGCTATTTAAATGAGAGGCTTTAAAGTGACCTGTTGATTATGGAAGGCAGTGTTCTATACTTGCTATTGTCTTTTTCATTTTTTTTGTAACCCCTTAGTATCTAATTTATCAGGCACGTAATAGACCCTTAGTAAATATAATCTTTATGCCTAGTACCATTTTTTTTGGATGTTGTATATAACATCTTAATTCTTCTGTAAGCTTTTTCGTGACCTTTTTTGAAATAGTGGGTACCCAAATATTATATCCCTAAAAAATAGTCTTTCTGAACCAGGTATCCAGACTTGTAGAAGTGACACATAAATTTCAAATATGGACCCCCTAGAAAACATAGATTTTAAAAGAATTACTCATATTTTCATTCAAGGTCAAATTCAATACATTTAATTTTGGAAAATATTAATAAAACTATCCTATATTTTATTTTTAGCTTTCAGAAAGTCTGTTTTAGGAATTTGAAATATAAACTACATTTCCTGAAACCTTAACAATCTATTTTTTTTTTTAATAGTTATCAGGAGCAGCACTTTTTAAAGCACTGTACACATGGTCTTTATAACACAAAGATAGGAAGTAGATCTCTGTGTTATGGAGAAAATTGAAGGTTTATATTGTTTTAGGATTGAGCCTTAGTATTCCCTTAGCGTTACCTGATCATCTGGAAGGCCCAGGCCTTGCTGAGTCTAGAGGCGTTTTAAATAAGTCACCACCTTCCTCTTTTTAATGAAGCCTTGGTGTATTTCCATAACACACCGCATCCTCCTGGCAGAGAGCATTTCTCCCCGTAAGATCGGTGCTTAGATGAGTTTTTGCTGAGAAGGGAATAGATTTAATTTCTAACATGAAGGAAGTAGCACAGATTTAAATAATTTGTTTTTAGACCAGAGTCGGTAGTAACGTGTGATGATGTCACACTAACCCCTCAGTTAGAGAGAGGGTGTAGCCGAGGCATTTGTGGTGGTGTTTGGAGTCTCCGACTTTTCCTGAGGGCCTCTGACTTTCCTACTGCTTCTTCGTAGGTATTGTACGGATGACATGTTGCAGAGAGAGATGATGTCCAGCCCTTTTTTGGGCAGCTACGGGGTCATCATCTTAGACGACGTCCATGAAAGAAGCATTGCCACCGACGTGTTACTCGGACTTCTGAAGGATGTGTTACTGGCACGCCCGGAACTGAAGCTCATAATTAACTCCTCGCCACACCTGATCAGCAAACTCAGCTCTTACTACGGAAACGTGCCTCTCATAGAAGTGAAAAAGCAGCACCCTGTGGAGGTTGTGTACCTGAGCGGGGCTCAGAAGGAGTCTTTTGAGTCTATTTTACGCCTTATCTTTGAAATTCACCAGTCCGGTGAGAAGGGGGACATTGCAGTCTTTCTGGCCTGTGAACACGTAAGTCATATTCTGACCTCACAGAGGCCTCGGGTTCCTTAGGGGGAACCTTTTAACCTCGTTGGGAAGCTTTTAATAATTAACATCCAGGTGTCCGTTTACTGACTCACTGTTTAAATATTTGGTTCCAACACACCTTTTTTTTTTTTTTTAAAGTACTCGAGAAGCCATGCCGGCAGGGTAAATAAGACAGGTTCTAAGCAGAGGACACGGGAGGGCTTGTGAAATCACGAGCTGTGAGAGCAGGGGACAAGGGGAGGTGCTCGGGACTCCACAGTGGGGGGTCTCCAGAGCTCTTGGGCCGGGTCTCAGGCTGCCCGAGATGCCCAGCCCCTGCTGCGCCCGCATGCTTGGATGGTCTTGGAGAGAAGATGCACGCTGACCCCTGTCACCCTCTTGGTGGTCTCCTCTGTGACCAGGAGTGTTTGCTGTAGAGGAGGACTGTCCCCTAAGCACTTGACATAGGGCAAAGGAACAAAAAAAGTTCCCACAGATGTTCCTACAATAGTCAGTGGGGTGTGAGGCAGAAAAATAAAATGTATAGCGTTCCCGGAAGGCTTTCTTCCTACACTGGGCTCCTCTTCTTAAAAGATGAATGAGAAAAATCTGACTTGGATTCTAGATGTGCTTTCAAAAGAACAATTCGAAATGTGTAACTGAGCATCTGTTATTGCTTTTACATCCTCAAGATGCCATTTGGGGTTCCTTTGGATTTTGTTTTTGTTTTTAATTGCAGCTGTACAGTGGCCTCCTTCCCTTCTAGCACTCTGTTGGCCGAATCTAGAAGCCTCCAGAATCTCAAGAATTATACCTTTCTTCTTAGAGACTAATTTCCTGGTCTTTGTTTTCCTACCCATCATCTTACTCAGTAAAAGTACTAGTTTTTGGACCATGACCCAAATATGTAGTGATTCCAGTGACTAAGTAGAAACCAAAAAGGAAATTGATTGGCTCAGCCACCAGCTGAACAAAGACAAGTTTCTGAGCTCTCCATCAGAATCTTAAGTTTCACATGCTTTCAGAAATAACTTACAGAAGTATTTATTCCGTTTTACATTCAGAGCATAAAGGATGACTGACCCTCCTAGCTTCAGGAACTTTAGACAGATTTTACCTGCTTCCATAAAGAAAGTAATTTAAAATCTCAGATATATGATAACTACAGCATGTTTATCAATTTTTCATCTATAGATTATATAATTTGTTCTTTTACCTATTACAGTGATTTATTCTATTACCATTTCCTAATCGTGCATGATTCAAGATAGTCAAGAAAGTCCTGAGGAAAGTAATAAAATGATTAAGCAGCCAAGAGAAGGATTTATGAAGATGATTAAAGGTTCTCAGTGTAGCCCGTAGAAGACTTAGAAAGGGGAGAATGGCAGAATTAGCCAGTGTCAATGTCAGTCGCTAGGTGAAAAAGAAGACCTAAGTTTCTGGAGGGGGGGAGTATAATTAAGACTGGTAGAATGAGTAGTCCTTCTTCAAGTCAGAGTAAGCAAAAATTCCCAAATGGATTTTTTTTAAGATTTTATTTTAGAGAGATTGGGGGAGGGGGGAGCAGAGGGAGAGAGACATGCTGAACGCAGAGCCTGACACAGGGCTCCATCCCATGACCTGAGCCAAAATCAAGAGTTGGCGCTTAACTGACTGAGCCACCCACGTGCCCCCCAAAATGGGTTTTTGAAAAATAAAGTTCATAACAGAATTGGGGATAGTGGATGGATGGTCTTAAGAAAGGTAGTTGATTCTTACAAGTTTAATATAAGCTGTAATTAATGACATGGTGACTTTTGAAATGTCAGACTTTAGGAGATGCATTTTTACCCAGGCTGGGAGTCTAACCCCAGGGCTTACAGAGGCATATAATCTTTCATGAAGTTGGACCAGAAAGACATTTCCTGTGAAGAAACCATAGTCTTGCGATGTTGGGCAGGGGCTGCAGGTCTGACCCGGGTCCTGGGGTCTCTGCAGGAGGCCCCCCGGGGTCCACAGGCTCAGGCAGAGACCTGGCTTGGCAGCGTCGTGCTTCAGCATACCTCTGCCGGACCAGTTTTCCCTCCCAGTTCGGCTCCGAACTCCACAGCTGGTGTCTGCTTCTCCCCGCCTCCCCCCAACAAACTGGACACAGTTCATCTCCTGACAGACATTCCTCTTTTCTTCTTCACCACTTCTGTCAGCATTACCATTAAGATATTCCTCTCCTGGGGCGTCTGGGTAGCTCAGTCTGTTAAGCATCCGGCTCCTGGTTTCGGCTCAGGTCATGATCTCTGGGTCTTGGGATGTTGGGCTCTGTGGGGAGTGTGGAGTCTGCTTAAAGTTCTCCCTCTCCCCTCCATGCCCCACCCCGGCTTGTGCACTCTCTCTCTCTCAAAAAAAAAAAAAAAAGATATTCCTTTCCTGTGGTCTTACAATTTGTCTCTTTGGGAAAATTTGCCTTGCTCTGAAATCCATGTTAACAGCTATTGATCATTTTCCTCCCGTACTATTTGAAGCTTTCTTAATTTCTATATAAAACTTTCAAATCTGCCATGGCAGTTAAATGTCCTAGGAATGCAAGCAGTTAAGTACATGAACAGAAACGTGCTGCTGGTCATTTTCTATGTTAAGAGCTACATTTATAATTGTAGAAATACTCTGCAGCATTTTGGGTTGGTGAGCACTCGGTGCCCCACGTGCTGTAAGCGCTGGCCTGACCCTCACCAGCTGTGGATTAGTCCCCACGGCCCCGTGCTGCCCCACGTCTTCACACGTGATCAAGGCTTTGAGCCCTCAGTGTTTCTCGTTTCCTCATCACCTAACTGTCTTCTAACCTGGAAAAGTGAAATACGTTAAGTAGAGAGCGAAGTTGAGATTTATGGTCCTATCAGCCCAATTCCTGTGCCCATCTAAACCACTCCAGAAAGGCACCGTCAGGTTGAAGGGTTTCTGGGAAGTGCTCTGTGTGGTTTCGGGCCTTTCATTTGGAGGGATCTCCCTTCAGTGTGTCTTGTGCTTTCCATGACTTTGCAGGGAATCCTAGGAAGGCCCCCCCATAGGTCAGTGCACTGTACCCGTTGGGTAAGAAGGAAATGAATAAGAGGTTGGAAGCACCAGATTCGTATGTTGAGCATTTTTTTTTTTTTTTTCAAATTCTGAAGGTTATGGCCTCAAAGCCCTGTCAGCTGAGCCTGAGGAGTTGGAACCACATACAGCGTCGGTTTCTATTTGCTCCGCTTTTTTGCTTTTGAAGATTTTTTTATGCCTTTTTCTTTCTCCATTCGGAACAAAACTCAACCTAAGAACCCGCCTACAACCAAGAAGGTTTAGTAACTAGAAGCAAATAAAAAATGAGCGGCCAAATTACCTTTTAACAGTATTCTAAGAGAATAAGAGAAACGTTTGGGTCCAGTTTGAAGGTTTATTTTGAAAAATAATTGCTCACAAGCGGGCTGCTGGAATCTGTGTCCATCTCCAAGACCAGTAGCACCTGTGGGCAGCCTGCTGGGAGGAACGGGGGATGTCCTGGGGGGCTGAGCTGCGGCCAGCGGCAGGGACACGCAGCCCACGTTCCTGCTGTCCCTGTCTAACAGGCTGTTCTCACATACGATGATGGCATGATCAGAATTGTAAGTTTGTTCCGATTGTCCCATTCGGCAAGTTTTCATTCATTATGATCCACGGTTACACTCTGCTTGGTAGACCTCTGCCGCCAGGAAGCCACCTCTGTGGGACATGTACACAGAAGAATGTAACTGGACACCTCACGTGGAGGCCTCTGCCCCGCTTCCTGGGGCCTCCCTGCGGCTCAGGAATAACTTTCAGACAGCTCACCCATGATGCCATTTTTCCAGGCAGATCGGTCTACAAAACCCTTCTGTTAACCCTCTTCTGCAAATAAACGAAGGAAGGAGAGTGAGTGAGCTAGCGCACTGGAAAACGGAATAGGTCTTAAAACTTGAACGGTCACGGAAAGTCATCTTTTTTTTTTTTTTTTTAGAGTTTTAGTGAAATCTAATGAATGAAATGAGGCTTCTTCCATTTGGTAGTTTGTTGGGCCCTTAAGAAAGTAGAAATTTTAGAAACATAAATGAAAAAGGTGTAAGAATTAAATTAAGTGACATCTTTTTTATATGAGGTCTTAAAAAACTAGTTGTATTTGAGAAATAGAAAAATACTATCTAAAATGCCTTGCCTGTTGAGCATTTTGCACTAGTTAGTTACTTATGTATAGTTTTAAGGGAAATAATTTACTTTTTTTTTCAATACATTTGGCAGTGAAACAATTTAAAAGGATATTTCTAAATGCCTGAATCATGCCAAGGTGTGTGAATTAGCAGTGAATATTTCCTGCCTACTTCATTGCATGTGTGCTGTCTTAAAGTACTAATGGGTCAAGACAGCTTTCAGAGTGACCCAGAGACCCTGATTACAGAATGTTTATGTGTATATGTTTTTATTGGAAGTCCAGAGATTGTTTTATAATTCTCTACTCTGTCACCATTTAGTTCACAGTGATGCATCATCACTGATGTGAAAATAACTTTGGTTTTCCCGTCATTGGTAATGGATTTGAGAAAATGCATCAAGCTAGAAACATAGGATAAATGCATGAAGGCACAGGGTAGTACATTTCACAAGAGGAAAACCATTTTGGACTTAAAAAGCCATGAAATTGTTAATAAATTATATTTAACTTCCCCAAAGAAATGTTCTTGTCCAGTTACATCCTCACGTAATGATTCACATAGACGACACAGGTATTTCTTTCCTTGTATACATTATGCGGCTTTTGCCTATAGTTTTATTTAATTAGACCTTTTTTTAAGTAATAAAGTTGTTTGTGACATGTTTATTCTCATGGCTGATGTTATTTTTTACTTTAGGATATTGAGAAAGCCTATGAAATCATCTGTCAAGAAGGATCGAACTTAAACCCAGATCTTGGAGAGCTGGTAGTTATTCCTTTGTATCCAAAAGACAAATGTGCATTGTTCAAGCCAAATGATGAAACAGAAAAAAGATGCCAAGTTTATCAGAGAAGAGTGGTGTTAACTGCGAGCTCTGGGGAGTCTTTGATCTGGAGCAACACAGTCAAATTTGTTATTGATGTGGGTGTGGAAAGGAGAAAGGTAATTATTGTCGAGTCGGTAAACCATCTGCTGATCATTGTCCTTGGGTTCCTGCCACTATGCCCACTGGGGAAGTGAGGATGAAGCATGGGATCTGGGGAGTCTCTGGCTCCTGTGTGGAAAGGGAAAGTATTGCGAGTCTTGTTTACCCATTACTGCCTTTCCTTAGCATGTAGGTAATCCCCAAACTGAGTTGACGGAGGTGTCACAGGAAGACGTCTTTAGAAAAGACACAACTAGGGGCGCCTGGGTGGCTCAGTCGTTGAGCGTCTGCCTTCGGCTCAGGTCATGATCCCAGGGTCCTGGGATCGAGCCCCGCATCGGGCTCCCTGCTCAGCGGGGAAGCCTGCTTCTCCCTCTCCCACTCCTCCTGCTTGTATTCCCTCTCTCACTGTGTCTCTCTCTGTCAAATAAATAAATAAAATCTTTAAAAAAAAAAAAAAAGAAAAGACACAACTATAAAGATGATGGCTCTCCTTGTCAGTGGTTTTTCTTAAGCTCTGGTGCTAGCAAGGCAAATTACTGGACTCTTAAACCAACCTTTCCCTGTGGTCCATCCACTGAGTATTTTTGGTAGCCCCGTTATCAAAATGATTAGCCTCTTCCCTGAGGTGATTTACCAGAAATTAGTTTCAAGTACACGGACTTTAATCTTACCAAGTTTTAGCTTTAATGTTGATATGATAAAATTCTATCCTAAAGTTTTAAAAATATTTTTTATAACTACCTTTAAAGAAGAAAATTAGGAAAAAGGGAAGTAGGATATCTCAAACTCTCAAAGACACTGGAACTTAAGAAATCCTAGCATTTAAGAACTGAAGGAACCTACCCAAGTATTGATCCGTTTCACCTTATTAGAGATTACGTATGCTTTTATCCCTCGAGGAAACCGGGTCTTCTGAGTATCTTATTGCGACAGAGCAATTCCAACCATTCTGAAGGTTCCCTTGGAACCAGTTTGGGCTCTTACTGAATTAGTCCACCATTCAGAGAACCCAGGGCTATTACTAGCCCCCCTCCAGCCCCTGTAAGAAAAAAAAAAAATCACTGTTGGTGCCATATGCAGTTTTTGTCTGAGCTGATATGACTGGAAAATCTCAGCATATTATTATCAAGGTCAGACCGCTGAGATCACAATTTGAATAGAACCTTGAAGAGACGCACCGACCGATGATAATGCTTTCCTCCGTGTGGTGGATGCCGATCTGTTGTCATCACAGGGTCGTGCTTTGAGAAGTGACACCACTAGCATTTCAGGAGATGGTGCAGAGGTCCCATATTTATGGAACCTACAATGAAAGCAGACAACTTGAAATCCATTTGTTAAGGTGCTAGCAGTTTCTATCTCAAGGCAAGTGAAACAATAATAAAGATGGTCCAGAGAGAATGAGTCCATAGCAGAGCATTTCACCAAATGCTGCAAACCACACGCTCCCCTCCGGTACAGCGAGCCTGCGAAATCTTGAGTGATCTGATGCTAAAGTTGCTGTGTCTCCATTTAAAGGTGTACAACCCTAGAATAAGAGCAGACTCACTCATCATGCAGCCCATCAGCCAAAGCCAAGCGGAGATACGCAAGCAGATTCTCGGTTCGTCTTCTTCAGGTAGCACCACGATCACGAAGACTGCTGTATATTCCTGAACGAAGGCAACCTAGAGACATTAAAACCACTCTCCTTGGTTTCTTCTAGGAAAACTCTTCTGTCTGTACTCTGAGGAATTTGCTTCCAAAGACATGCGGCCACTGAAGCCAGTGGAAATGCAGGAAGCCAACCTCACCAGCATGGTGCTCTTCCTGAAGAGAATAGACATCGCGGGCTTAGGCCACTGCGACTTCATGAACAGACCAGGTAGCTTTGTGCTCGCGGGGCACGGGGCGCGGGGCCAAGACGGGCCTCCTTGCCTCCTGTCCAGGCCCGGGCCGGAGAGCAGGTGGCCCTCGGCAGTGCAGGCAAGTGTGGGGTGGCGGGCGTGTGTACGGAAGCATTTTTCCCTTTAGAGGCAAACGTTCTTTGAAGGAATTTTTTTTTTTTTTTAAGGTTTTACTTATTTGTGAGAGAGAGAATGAGAGACAGAGAGCATGAGAGGGGGCAGGGTCAGAGAGAGAGGCAGACTTCCTGCTGAGCAGGGAGCCCGACGTGGGACTCGATCCCGGGACTCCAGGAGCATGACCTGAGCCGAAGGCAGTCGCTTAACCAACTGAGCCACCCAGGCACCTTCTGAAGGAATCTTTTTAAAAGCCTCTAGAAATCCCTGCCCTGAGGCAGTGGAGGATGGTCTGCCATGGGAGCCGGGAGCCCAGGAGGGTGGGCCCGAGGGGCCTGCTGGGGTCTGAGTGTGGCGTCTGCGAGGGCAGGCGACTTCTGGCAGCTTTCAGGTTTCCTGGTGGGACGTGTGTCAGCCTACAGTCCTTCCTCCTGCATCACTCTGTCACACGGGGGAGCCCCCCTAGAAGTTCCCTCCTTTGTAATTACGGTCCAGCTCTCCTGTGAAGGGGTTAGGTTCTTGAACCTAGGGCTGAGACTAGTTACAGGCCGGTCACGGTTCTCCGGGGGAATCTCTCCTCTGGTGGGTCCCGTCACCCAGGAGGTGCCGGCGTTCTCCCCTCCAGGGCCACCCCCCCCTCGCTGGGACGGCGGCTGCTCTCTGGGGCACCAGCAGGGTGCTGCGGAAAGGCCGAGAAAGCACGGGGCAGGCGGCTTCAGCAGTGTGTGGGGCGGCCACGCCACATGCTGAGCTCAGGAAGGGAAGCCGGGACCTTCTCTTCTTAGCCTCCCGCCTTCTCGCACATTCCCGGTTGGCTTCTCCTACCTGGTGGGCAAACGCTCTTCCGCTCTGCCTGCAAGGTCTGGGGGGTGGCACTGGCTATGGAGTTTAAACCGTCAGCCGTCAGCCGGCAAAGAAAGGCTGAAAGTAGCAAATGCTCTCCTTGTTCTTGTCCATTTAAACATCTGCCTGTCCTCTCAGGGAGAACGGCAGTACCCTCTGTATGGGCCGCACAGACATAGTTCAAAGCTGCAACAAGCCTCTGAGGCAAATGCTCTGATTCGCTCCATTTTACAGATGAGGAAACTGAGTCACAGAAATCAGGTCACGTACACAGACGGAGAGGGTGAACACTCTTGAGAGTGTCTCCTTAAACACAGCGGAGCCCCATGGGCCTCAACATCTCTCCCAGTCGTCTGTGCCCTCTTTTCCTTGGGGAGTTGTCTGGCGCTTCTCCACCGCACCCCCAGACCTCCAGCGCCCCACCCCCGAGCCGGCAGGGGCGGCTCAGATGCGGCTTGTTGAGCGCGGCCTGCCGGGGCTTCAACAGGAAGGGATGCCTTCCGCTGCCCCCCTCCCGCCCCCCCGCCACGGGAACTGTGGCGAGCTAGACAGGGGTGGGGGCCGGGGGCCCAGGCAGGCCGGCCGTGCTGGTGGCCGCCTTCCCGTGGCCTCCGTGCCGTCACTTTCCAGCCGCCCCCTCCTCTCCCCCTGGGCCGCCTTCCCGTGGCCTCCGTGCCGTCACTTTCCAGCCGCCCCCTCCTCTCCCAGGTGTCCTTCTGACCACTGAGGAAGAAAGTGAGGGTCTCTGCCACGTGCCCCCATTTCTCGGGTTTCTCCTCGGTGACCTCAGAGCTTCGGACGACTTTGCGGGAGGCCAGTTGGCCACAGTGACCCCTGCAGAGACCTTCCAGAGACTGAGCTCTGAAGAAACACGCTTCGTTTTCGGGAAAATGGCTGCCCAGCTCCCCTGCTCGTCTCTTAGGCCCCGAATCAGCACGTGTTGACTCCCTAGGCGTCTTCTTGGCTGCGGACAGCGGCTGTTCGGTGAGCTTGCCGTGAAGGGAGAAGCGGACAGCAAAGCACAGCAGTGCAGAGAACCCTGTGTTTCCCCGGGGGCCCCGTCTGCGCTGCTTAGGCCCGGAGCTGGTCACCGGGGACCGAGGTTAGGGCGGCGGCTTATTGTTGTCTCCCGACAGTACTCACAGGACTGTGTTCTGCTGTGCTGGGGGAAAAGCTAACTGTGGAGTCACTCTGGCTCATCATTTTAGGAGGAAAAAAAGATGATGCTTGCAGCTGGTGCATTTAATTCAACTTCCCATTGAAATATGCAAATGCAGCAAACCTGTTACCCTTTTCAGGATTCATGAGCCATGTGAAAATGAATTTGGCATAACTAGGCTACAGGCTATTCATTGAACTCCCTTGATAAAGATCTCTTAAAAAGGACAAAAAGAGCGTCCATTGTTTTTTCTTCCCTGGTGCTGAAGATTGACCTCCATCACGAGCGACACCATCACTGTTGATGTGGATCAGGAGGCCCAGGGTCAACTGAGCACACGTTTCCTTCTGGGAAGCAATGGCACCTACACCGAAACTGGGGACAAACTAGCTGCAACGTACCAGCCTGCACCAAATGTCATCTTTGTGTCTGGGTGCAGAGCTCGTGTGGGTGAGACGACTGGCTTTGGAATGATCCGGGAAGAATGAACCCACACACAGACTGGCCAGACGTGGTGTGCAGGACGAGACCGAGCATTCGGGGAGGCGGGCAAGGACACAGGGACAGAATCACGCCGCGGCCGTGGACGCCAGTGTTGGGAGTCGGCAGGACGAGGGCTTAGAGATGCTGCAGGGGCTTGATCTGCGGTGATGCTGCAGGAAGTTCCCCAGAGGAGTCAAGATCTTCTGGAATCCCGTCTGCCGCAGGAAAGCCTCGATCGTGTGCACGCTGGCGAAGTGCCTCTGCTTGTCTCTGCAGCACTGGAAATGGGGCATTTCGCTTCGGGGTTTGCAAAAGGGTCTTTAAATGTGACCATCTGTACTCAGAGGAGAGCAGGGGCACAAGGGGCTGCAGACGCCACGTGCATGTGCTGGTGCTCGCAGACGGCCTCCCGCACACCCCCCAGCCCCCCTGACAGCCCTGGACGTGAGCAGAGAGGCCGATGCCACACGGGCAGGAAGCCCCCGTCCAGGTGTCCACGTCAGCGACGGTCGCACTTGCAGAGTTTGTTGCTGTATTCAGGTGGCGGGGTGGGAGTGTGGAAAAGAGGCACAAAGTACTTTTTCTTCACTTCAGTGAAGAGGGAGAATGGGAGAGATTTTAGAAGGCAGAGAATGGAAGCATTTTCAGCTCTTGATTCGCATTAGGCTTGTCATGGGTCCTGTGAGCACGGGACTCTCTCTCCAGGCCAAGATGTTGGAGGGCAGAAGGGGACGCTGTTGTTAATTAAGCTGTGGCGAGCTGTGGGACTGGGCCGTGCTTGGCCCGCCGGGCAGAGGGGCCCCGGATGAGGGGCCGCACCAGGGAGCTCGGGCTCCCAAGCAGACTGCCAGGGCTCTGGCCCCGGCCCCCCACTCCCGTGTCACATCCAGCATTGTGTCACCCCCTTGGGCCTCAGTTTCTTCATCTGAGTGTGAGCATAATCAAAGTAATTGGCCCATAGAGTTGGCAATATAAATCCATTTACGTGACTGGCCTATAGTAAATCCTGTAGCTGTCCCCACCTGTGTGACTCCTACCTGAGCTCCGAAACAGGCCTTGGGCCCTGAGCGGCAGAGTCCCTACAAAGGGCAGTTTTCACCGTGTGAGAAGCAGATACGGAGCTGCAGGCGTTCAGAGGCAGCCCCAGGCTGCTCACAGCAGAGCGTCCGGCTTGGAGCCAGAAGACACACAGCAGGTGCAAAGGCCCGGGCCCCCGTCCCCGTCGTGCAGCGCGGAGACAGGCTGCTGAGGCCTGTGTCTCTGGCACGTCACTTAGCTTTTCTTCATCTGTGGCATGAGGATACGGTGTGTGCCCTCTCGTGTCAGGGGCTCCTAGAGGCTCACAGGAGATGATTTATGCCGAAGTGCTGTGTGTAGTGTGTAGAGGGTGAGGTTGGGCAATTGCCAGGCTTTATGAGCATGTCCTTTGAAATTTGAGGAAACAGAAGCCTGCCCGTCCTGGCCTCTTCAGAGCCAAACTCGTAAACCCGTTTCCTAGAAGTCCCAAGACTTTAGAGTCTACACCGTCAGCCCAGAGCCATCTCCTGATTCCTCAGCGTCTCCCCTCTGTGCACTGTGCACGATGCCCAAGTCCCAGTCCTAAAACCAGTTGGGACCAGAAACTTCCTTTTTTCTTTAGTCCTCTCAAGCTGTGACTTTATTTCTCTCTGTCGTCTTTCTCCGTGTGTGTGTGATGAATGCAAGTACCTGGCACACGGTGAGAGCTTTGAGGGCAGCCGTTCTTGTTCCTTCCATAGGCCAGCTTGGCCCCTACCTTTTCGAAGCTCCAGCGGCACCTGAATTATTATGCTGTGGTGTATTAGTTAGAATTCCTCCGGACACGGTGCCAGCAATGCGGTTCACGCTAGCGTAAACACAAGTGAAGGATCATAAGGACATTGGGGTGTCCTGTGAAATCCAGGGTGAGAAGGAAGTCAAGCCTCAGGAACACTTAAGAAAACAGAGACTTGAACAACCTTGGCACACGGGGTCTCATCTCTGGGTCTCTTGGTTCTTCTCCTTTGCTCTCTCTCGTCAGTCCTCATGGCAGAATCTCAGCTGTATTCTCCAAGTCAGCCCCTGGAAACCCCTCAGCTTCTCTTGATCCAGACTCTGAACCCCCGCCCCCCACCCCCGGAGAGCGTCACTGGCTTGGGTTGAGCAGGGTCCACCCTGACCCAGGCAGCCGTGTCTGGAGGTTAGCGGTAGTCTGGGAGGTGGTCACGTGCTACAAAATCGTGCTTCCCTAGGACTGGGGGTGCACTTCCTTGAGAAGAGGCCAGTCGGGTAAAATTGCATCTCCGGACACTGGAAATTGGTCGTTGGTTTATATGTGGGTCTCCCTCCTAAGACCTCCAGCTCCAGGAGGGCCAAGGTTGGGCCCATCCGCCCACATGTGTCCCTGCCCCTGGGGCCTTGCAAATGCCACGATCACAAGACACTCACATGTGGCTTGAGAGGAAGTGAGTGAATGAGTTGAGTGTTATCCTTAGAAGGAAATAAGTCCACTAACCAACAGCCAGCAAGGCAGCCCCTGGAGATGGACTCCGCTCCCTTCTTCCCCTTAGTCCTTTCCTAGGCCTGGGCTGGGCGGGAGTGACGGGAGGTGCCAGAGGCTCTCTGGTCTGCGAGGCTGTCCTTCCAGGGCACAGCACGGAGCGGTAAGCTCAGAGGGCTCCCTGCCTCGTGCTGCAGCCCGAGAACCCCGTCCGTGGCAGGGCTGGGGACAAAAGGGTCTGCTGCTACCCGTAAGGAGTCACCTTGCCGTGGGCATGGCGCTGAAAACGCATCTCTCCCGGTGACCAGTGGAGGCCCCCCTATCTCTCAGATCCTTTCCAACTCTAGCGACGCCAACCGAACCTTAATCCAGTATCCTTATTGGTTAGAGAGTAGGTTAAGGGGTCTTGGGAAAGAGAGGAATCAACCATGGGGACTGCTGACCAAGAGACACCCCCTGCCCGGTTCTGCTCCGGCACGACATCTGTTAGCACTGTTTCCCATGGCCCGCACTTAAACGACGCTGCTGTGAAGAGCCTCGTCTACACCCTTCTGCTGTTTAGCTGAGACCGTTTTATGAGCCACACTGGGGAGATGTCTTAAAGTGTGGACGTAATATTAGCAAATCCTATTCAGTTATTTATTGTTGTTCTTTCACCTGTGTAATGTTCCTTCTGATATAATAAAACCCCAAGAACATCCTCTTCTGGTGTTAGGACGGGAGCAGAATTAGGAAGTTATTTCGTAATCCTGTGTGCCACCAACTGAGCTGCAGGGCATAAAAACAAGGAGTAGGTGCCCTTTGGGGACAGAGCCCAGCTGCGGAGCCAGATGCTTACGGGGACAGTTGCCAAAGATCCTGTAAGTTACAATGCAGCAGCTTTGCTGATTTATAGAAATTGGTTTCTAAACAGTTTTCAGTAATTAAGTTTGTGCTCGCAACCCGCTCCTGCTGTGTTTAATCTGAGATGCGTGTTTCTATGACTGCGTCTCACACCTTCGCCAGCAGGTCAGCTGTTCCTTCATTTCATGGCTCACTGAGAGAACTCTTGGACTTTTTTTTTGCTAAATAGCCCATCTGTCTCCTTGCCGGGACTGTGGCCTCTCAAGGTCTCCTCGTTGCCCAGGGGTGTCCAAGAAGGAACGAGGAGCGCACCAGTGCTCCATGCCAGCACCCAGGCGGGACTGGGGGAGCAGAACGCGGGGAAGGACAGGAATCTCCTGGGAGCCCTGCGCTGCTCAGTGGTTCAATCTCAATGAGAGAATTCGAAAGCAATAGGGAAGTTAAAGTTCTTCTCTCCCAGTCGGGGATTAAAGCTGTGCTCCAGGTCGTTCAGCGGGTGTCTGGAGTCCAGGCAGGTTCGCAGGGGGCTGCTTCTTAGAGCCTCTGGCAGCCCTGACACCTGCTTTTCCAGAACTGATCTGCTTGCGACCGATGCGTCTCAGGTTGAGATCAGGCCCGTTACCTGCTCTGCTCTTCTGCAGCGAAAGGACTAGAGACTTGACGAACTGCACGTCACCCTCAGCGAGCCATATCTCCATCCACAGCAGTGGTTTCTCCTGTTGTTTTCATGGCATCTTGTTAGCAACGAGGGGATTGTAGCAAATCTGAGTTGGTGACTGGCCTTTGAGTTACACAGTTGGCCTGAAATTTTGATAAGTAGCTTAGTGGTCGGTGTTTGAACAGCAAATAAGAAAATTTTTACTATTTGTTACATTGAACTCCCAGATGCAAGTAGGTGAAATTGCTGCTTGGGTCCCCATCATATTCATCTCCTGCTCACAATGTACCTGCGAGAGTTGAGACACATGAAAGTGATCTGGAAGTGCTCGGAAATCCTTCAGTGTCTGGGGTAGAACACGACAGCAGCTTAATACTGTGTGGTTTGCTTCTTTGTGTGGCCTTTATTGCTGTACCACCTGCCCGACAGATGAAACACACACGTACTTATTGATCTCCTCTTACTCTGCAAGGGCAAGGAGAGTACCTTGCTTTGAACAAATGGATTATCTTTTTTGGTGGGGATTAAGCATATGTGATAAACACCACACCATTACTGATGTTCTATAAACTTAAGAAATACAGATCTGGAGAAAATCAGCCTTCTGCCCTTATTTGCACCGGCAAGTAACTCTTAAACATCCTTGCCTATTTCTGTCATCTCTGCAGGTTCTGGGTCAGTTTCAGTTGATTAATTTTTCTCTTTATTATGGGACTGTATTTTCCTGCTCTTCATGCCTCTACGTAATTTATTGGATGCTAGACATTGTACATTTTGCTGTGTTGCATATTGGATATTTTGTGTTCCTATAAATACTTTTGACCTTTATCCTGGGTTGCAGGATGATCCTTTCAGGTCCTGGTTTTAAGCTCTGTTAGCTGGCACTGGAGAGTGCACATCAGGGGTGGGGGGTGGGGATTCTTCCCTTCTGCTTCTCCTACCCGGGGCCCCATAACTGCGATTTCCCAGCCCAGTGGGTAGAAGTGGGCAGTATCCTAGATCCCGTGTCAGGAGACGGCACTGTCCCTCTAATCCTCTGGATGGTTCTGTGACCCGACATAGTTTCTTCCGCGTGCTCCGCTGACGAATCGAGGAGACCTTTCGTGGATCTTCCAAGTCCTGTCTCTGTATGGCTCTCTCCCATCAGGTAGTCCCACCTGCAAGCTCTGGCCACCTTAGCCTCCTTGGACCCTCCGCACCATCTTCATAACTCCAGCAGGCTCCATCTGGGTCCACTTCTGGCACTGCAGCCGGGAAACTCTTTCAAGGCCTTACACTGGGCAGTCATGGTGCTCACCTCATTAGCGTCCCCCTCTCAGGAATCACTGTCCTTCACTGCCTGACGTTCTTTGTCTTGCAAGCTGTCATTTCACATGTCTTGCCCACTGTTTGGTTGTTTCATGTGAGGGGAGGCCCAGGACTTGTCACCCCATCTTGGTTCTAGGAGATGGGTGATGATTTTTTTCTCTGCTAGCCCCAGAAAGTCTGATGCAGGCTCTGGAAGACTTGGATTACCTGGCCGCACTGGACAATGATGGGAATCTCTCGGAGTTTGGGATCATCATGTCGGAGTTTCCTCTTGACCCACAGCTCTCAAAGTCTATCCTAGCATCCTGTGAATTTGACTGTGTGGAGGAGATGCTGACGATCGCAGCCATGGTGACAGGTACTCCTCTGGGAGCACGGCTCCTTTGTGCTGTCAGTTCGTCCCAGGTCTAGATTTAAGTGAGATCTGTTTGAAATATTTTAAGAACCTAACAGAGACTTTGACCAATTCATTTAACCCTTTGAAGTGATAATTAAGTACTTTAATAGATTTAAAAGGTAGAAAGTTAGACGAATTATCTTTTTTTTTTTTTTTAAAGATTTTATTTATTTATTTGACAGAGAGAGAGCAGGGGGAGTGGGAGAGGGAGAAGCAGGCTTCCCGCTGAGCAGGGAGCCCGATGCGGGGCTCGATCCCAGGACCCTGGGATCATGACCCGAGACGAAGGCAGATGCTTAACAGCTGAGCCACCCAGGCGCCCCACAAATTATCTTAATATGAAAAAAATCAAAATCCAGTGAATTACTCATTGAAAGAAAAATGTGTCACTAGAAGTGTTCTTCCCCAAAGAGTGATGCGTTTCTGTTTTTATTTCCTACCTCCTTCATTCTTCTTGCTTTCTGTGTTTTAATGATTTCTTTTACTGGCAGCTCAGGCCAAAGGCTGTGGCTGGGCCTGAGTAGCTCCAGTCCCCGGGGGCCCCCCTGCTCTGACTGTGGTACCAGCAGGGGACTCACTATACCTGACAGAGGCAAACATAAACAGGGACAAAAACATGATGATAACATCCTAAGTCTCTGATTTCTAAGTAAGCAAGAATAACATTTATTCAGAGAAATGGGAGCGGTTCTAGATGCACAGCAGTGAGCCCTTCCCTCTGCGTGTTGTGCTCAGGTCAGAGGTCTCCAGTCTCGCTGACCTTGTGACCTTTTGCATCTTAAAGCTCCCAACTGCTTCTCAAATCTGCCACATGGAGCTGAGGAGGCTGCCTTGACTTGTTGGAAGACGTTTTTACATCCCGAAGGAGATCACTTTACCCTCATCAACATTTACAAGGCCTACCAAGACATAGCTCTGAACTCTGCCAGTGAAAGTAAGTGAACGCTTGTGATTCGGAGCATCTAATTTCCACCTTTCCTTCCCCAAAGAAAGCTGAGTTGTTGTTCACCCTTCTCTAGCCCTGTTGGTCACCCGAGGGGCTGGCGCTTGAGGGTCTGGCTGTGCTCGCTGCCGTGCGTTGGAACCCCAGCGCTCAGCCCGGCCAGCCCTCAGGGAGCTAGGTCGGCATGGATGACATGGGGCCACAGAGACTTGCACGTGCGGCACAGCTCCCACCCTCCAGGGTCGGGGGAAGAAAGGAACTGCCATCTCCAAGTGCCCTGGGGTCAGAGCTGTGCTTTGTGCTTTCCCTAACATCCACATTCACTCCTAGGCGGAGAGAGAATACGGACATTCAGAACCAAACCAAACCAACCACCCCGGGCCTCAGATACTAGGAAGAAGTCGGTGGGTGTGCTGAGGGGGGCTGGAGAGAACTGGACTGGAACTTGGCCAAGGGGAGGGGAGGGGAGGGCATGTGGAAAAGCTGAGGCAGAAGTCCTGATGCTAGCCGACAGCCCGACAGTGAGCGTGTGAACTTCCCCGAGGGGGACCCGACGAAAAAGGAGCTAGAACACCCTCTTCCCTTAAAGACAGGAAGAGGATCCTGAGGGGCGGGCAGGGCAGAGCAGCGGGCGCAGGCTGGGGCCTCCAAAGGCAGCCAGTGAGGGGCTCCCTTCCAGCAAGGGAACCTTTGTTTTCCATGAAGCATCTTTTACCTCCTTTGCTCTGGTGGACAGGATGAAAAGTGAGCTGAAAAAGATGACATGGCAGTTTGAATGGCAGTACCGCTATAGAGAGTGGGGAGTTAATTTTTCAGAGCTGAGAAGATAAAGTCAGTGGAGCCAGCAAGGATAGGGGGACCTTGGTGGCATCTTTTGAGAGCAAGGACGGTGGGTGCCATTGTTTGCCCAAGTACATGCTCTTGTTGCTGAGGCGGCCTGAGGGCACAGGACAGGGTCAACCGGGGTCTCCTCCCTGCTGTGCCAAGGCCAGGTGCATTCCCAGCACAAGACAGAACTCCAGGTCCATCCTAAGTAACTACGGGTAGCAAGAAAGCCTTAACTTCAAACTGAACCAGATGACTGAATTTTAATATAAAATTTGCAGCTAGAGCGGGTAGATGAGCTTAACAGAATTCCCAAATCAGCCTAGTAGTAATCCTTTTCTTATAAACACGTTGAGATATTTTCATGGCTCAGGGGAACTTCTACCGTAGACCTGCCCCTCCTAGTTTGAATAAATGCTGGGGCCGGGTACATCCTCACTGTTCTTACACGAGCCAAACGGTCAGAGACACCCTCCTCTGTCCCCCTTCAGAGCTGCCGATGAAGGGGGCTACACTGGTCGGCACTAGAACATGCTGCTCCCACAGCTCAGTGGGCTTCCAGAACCCCCACGGCCAGTGCAGGTCCTGCCAGCCAGCCCCTGTCCCTGCAGCCTCCCTCCCACCCGCTCACATGACCTCCTCTTGAGGCGAGGCGGGCAGAGGACACAGAGATCACACCTCCTTCCCGGCTGGGGCTCTTACCGCTTATGGCAAATCATTTCTTCTTTCCTTGCCAGACTGTGTTGAAAAGTGGTGTCATGATTACTTCCTCAACTGCTGTGCTCTCAGGATGGCAGACGTTATCCGAGCTGAACTCTTAGAAATTGTCAAGCGAATCGAGCTCCCCTGTGCAGAACCTGCTTTTGGCTCAAAGGAGAACGCTCTGAACATAAAGAAGGCTCTCCTGTCCGGTTACTTCATGCAGGTGAGAGTGGGGATGGCAGCCTTCACTTCGGTCTTTCCAGAATGTCACGTGTTCGGGACGGTCTGTCAGGAAGTTCTCACCTAGGAGGATTCTTTTACTGGTGTTAACTTTAAATAAAACTGAAAACCTTCTGTGTTACTAAAGATATAGTACGTATGTATGTATTTATTTATAAAGATTTTATTTATTTGACAGAGACAGACACAGAGAGGGAACACAAGCGGGGGAGTGGGAGTGGGAGAGAGAGCAGCAGGCTTCCTGCCGAGCAGGGAGCCCAGCATGAGGCTCGATCCCAGGATTCTGGGATCATGACAGGACCCTGGGATCATGACCTGAGCCGAAGACAGACGCTTAACGACTGAGCCAACCAAGCGCCCCAAGGTTTAGTCTTTAAATGTACTTCCCCTCAAGGGAATTGAAGGGCTAAGCCAGAGTATGTTCACTTTGTCCAAAAGGACAAAAGGCCTTTTTCATCACAGAGGGAATGTTAGGAAAACACGCTCTTTGGCTGAGCATCAGATACAGTCCCTCATCTCACCGGTTTGTGAATTAGCTCACATTTAACCGATGATACTAACACCCAAGAAATAAAGGTAATGTCCATTTTTCATCCCCCAAATGAAGGCTGCCTAATGCAGCTCCCCTAAATGAAAGCACATTGGGGAAGGAAGCATGCATGTTCTTCATGTCACGGTCAGAGAAATTGTGGTATTTCCACTCACACTCTAGAGCGGTCTTAACAGAGGAAAACATGACATTTTAACATGAATTTCCTCATCATGTTCAGAAAGTAAGGTTCCTACATCACAGTGTTACTTTGTTAATTGAGCTAAAACATCCGGCATAAAGCCCCTGACCTCTGGGTACATCGCCCCCAGTGTGGCAGGTACCACGCTGGCTTTCACGGCCCCAACGTTAGCCGCCGTAGCTGTGCTTCCCACCCACTGCCCTGAAATTACTCAAGTTAGTAATGTCATCATCACGGTCTCAAAGTTTTGGGCAAAACCTGTTTGGGGCTTATTTTCTAGATCTGAAAATAGGAAACATGGGTGGCAAATGTGTAATTTTTACTATTTTGAACAATACTTTGGAATTTTTTAAACAAAACATTTTTGTCTATTGATCTCCATTTTTTTTTTTTTTAAAGATTTTATTTATTTATTTGAGAGAGAGAGAATGAGAGACAGAGAACATGAGAGGGAGGAGGGTCAGAGGGAGAAGCA